AAGGTTCTCAGGCCTTGGTTTAGCTCACTGGGATGAGCAGGCGCCCATAGGCCGTTTGGCTTGAGAGTGGCAAATCCGAATCTGAATCCGACCCCTGTTCATACAATACTGTCTTTCAAGCTGTATATAAAGAAATGAGGGCTTATGGCTCAAGACTTATGCACAGCACCGTAGACGCTAACTAAGCTGCCTGTACTGCTGTACTAGTCTAAGCCTGCTCAGGATGCGTTCACAAATACTTAGCAGACTATGGGAGTAATATGTCAGCAGGTGAGTATGTAGGGGTCCTCTGCTCCCATCATTCTCTGCTTTAATGTGAAACTGAAGAGAAACTAGGTGCCACTCTCCAAAAAGGGGGACTGCTTTATTGGAAAAGAAAAATGAGCTCCTTTAAATGTACTCTATGTCATATGTCAGTTGTCTGAAAGGTAGACCTTTCAGACAACTTATTAAAAACGTATACGAGTACAGGAAGAGTTAAGGATACAATAAAAGGTAAATTGTAGGAGATGTAAGGTATTTAAATTCTTCTCCACAATGCTGAATAGATATGGAATATGAGAGAATATATTGTCAGCTACATAAAGGAAAGTTTGAATTTGTATTTTTTTAAAAGGCACCTAAAATTTCAGACCCTTTTCAGTTAATTTAACTGAACAGTGTGTTTTATCATTCTGGCAGAAGCACTGAAATTGAAATTTTCACTCACGTCATGACCAGGGTCTCATCTCCTGGCTCACTCAGAAGTCCATCGACGAACACGGAGGTGCTTGTAAAGTTGTGAATGTTCCACGTCCGTCCTTCATCAATACTGAACCTGTGGGAAAGGATGAAGTGTTCAGAATCACCAAGACAGAAGCAGAGTCTCATGAAACTGTCTTCAGATATAACAAAAGAGCCTTGCCCTGATGTCAGCAAATGAAATCTTAAATAACAATCAAAAGACTAGAAATCAACATTAGACTTATCATTTGGTACTTCTAATGTTGATTTCATTTGGTACTTAATGAATTTAGATTATGTTGCCCTTTATACTGTCTGTCTAAAACCTGCGTGATTAGCACAACTAGCTAAATGCTGAATACCTAGTGCATCCTAGAAAACTGGTGTATCCACTTCATGGTGTAATTTCAGTTTATTTTCAGTACAGTTTCTCACATTGTCCCTCTGTTTGGTTCAGAAAGCTATCAGATGTTAAGGTAACTTTTTCAGCTCATAGCTAGCTTGTAGCTATTGTTTGCCATTGTTTACGGGCCTGGCAGACTCACTGAAATTATTAGTTCTTTAAACCAACTGCAATATGGATAAAATTATTTATCAGATACTAAATTTTATGTACCGTTAGAATCAATACAGAGCACATGTACTGTTTTATATTTGAAATGTAGCTCTGTTAAAACATTTCTGAATTAAAAGTATTATTGTCTTTTGAGATAAAAACAACTAAGATTTGTGTAATTCATTTTTGAAAGTAATCGCATAAAATTTTGGCAAAGCCATGGAAATATGGTTATGATCAACTACCTAACATTCATATTAGGCCAAACAATACTTTGTTTGCAGAGTCTTGACATGTTTTCTATGTGGGATAAATGGTAAATGGTAAATGGCCTGTATTTGTATAGCACTTTACTCGTCCCTAAGGACCCCAAAGCGCTTTACATATCCAGTCATCCACCCATTCACACACACATTCACACACTGGATACTGCACACATTCTTACCAACAAAATGCTTATTTTATCCCATTCTGTTGGTTTTTGTCTTTTGCCCTTCTCCCCCGTCCCTCTTCTCAGCTGTTTCTCTTTCCCTCTTTCTTTCTCCCCTTCTTTCCCCCAGTCAAGTCTGTCCCATATTCAGTAAGTGAAAATAAAATAAACAATAAAAGGTGAATCAAATGGACCATTACGGCAAGGCTGGGGTGGTCAATTTGGTAAAGTAAATCCGTTGGGCATCTTTCCTTGCCTTTAGACAACAATTCTGATGGCAAAGGGGCCAACGGGGCCGGGCAAAAAAAAAAAAAAAACATACAAAAAGTGATTGCAAAATGTTTGATATTCTAAACATGGGAGCAGCTAGGTGCTTTCCATAGCTATGGTCTTTCACCAGAATTATCTTAGTGAGATAATAAGGTGGCTGTAGCTTAGGAGGCAGAGCAGATCATCTGCTAGTCAGAAGGTTGGTTCTTTAATCCAAGGCTGCCAGACAAGATACTGAATCACACAATGAGTGAGGAGTTTGAACTTTAGATTAAAAAAAAAAAACCCCAAAAGCTTATGCAGTAGAAAACTGTTCAATTTAAAACTGGTTAATATGAGATGAGGGTGTACCTTTTGATTTCCTTCATGTTCACTTCAATTCAATTTTATCTATATAGGGTTATAGACAACAATAGTTGCCTCAAGGCATGCCATGTTGTAAAAACCCTACAATAATAGATACCCCCTCATAAGCAAACTCTTGTGACAGTGGGACAGAAAACTCAATTTTTAACAGAATGAAATATACGTTTACAACAGATATTTTTAGTAGGTTAAATGAAACATCATTCGAAAGTCATGGAAATTCATTGGTAAAAATGTGTATAAGAACTGTGTAATTTGTTTTTTATGCACATACATAACAAAGTTGGATCACTGAAGTTGTCTATACATAGAAAATTGACAAAATACAGCATTCATTGCTAATTAAGTGCTTTTTATGCTTTTAGTCACAATGAGATCCTTTTTGTGAAACTCAAATGTCTGTTATTCAAATTTTCTTTAGTCCTGTCTAAAATGAGGTTTGTGAAGCAAGCAAGAAGAGCCATCTGCCCAGCTTTATTTACTGTGCCGACAACTCATGCCATCAACAGTGGCAGCAGTACTGAATAAGTGTGACTGTGTGATGGAGAGCGATCAATGTTGAATCGAGCAGTGTGTGGCTCGCTCTGCGGGCTGTGTTTTAACAATGTCCTAACAAGGAGTGCAATAAGATAATCACTGGGTAAACAGGCACTGTGAAAGAAAAACAGAATGGATATACAAAGCCATCAAAGCTAGGCCTTGCTAGGCCTTTTTATGCGTCAAACAAAGGGTTCTCTAATCTAACAGTGTGTGAAGCCACTTTCCAAAGGCAGAATCAGTTACGTCTTGGGGCCTTTCAACTTTAATTCCTTAAAATTGATGAATCAAGGAGTACTGAGGTGTGAATGTAAGCATGCTATGAATTTCACTCAGACTCTGTTCCTTCATTTCTACTCACTACTTCTTGTAACATCTGACGTGTACAACCAAGCGCAACATCATGAAAGACTTCTGACAGTTCAAGTTTTATTATCTACAGGACAAAGACACTAATGGGCACCACCAAGAGAGTTCTTGGCATTAGAACAAGAAAGCAGAATAAAACTGCCAAGGGGACGGTTCGTCCAAATTCCTTGCCTCTGAGTTTGGTCATTTGGATTAACTATAAAAACATTTGCCCTTCAAAGTGATCAGACAGCAGATCACAGGTAATTCGAGGCATGCTGAGACCCTAAAAGTCTTTCACCAGAATGATTTTGTTATTTATCAGTAATAATGGTATGAGTGATATGGATGAGTGAATAGTAAATGAAGCGCTAAAGGCTCTTTTAGACTTTGGTTCATTTGACCGAGGAAAGAAAAAAGACATTGCTATCTAACAAAACACATAGTTACATAAAATGAGGCATAACGCAGTGACTAGACAGGTTTAGTGCCATCATCCTGCATGATCAGTTCTTATCATAGTAACTAAATATGATATATGCAAATAGCATGAACTGCTTTTTGTCAGCTTTCTATACGTATAAATACGATCCCTAAAGACCATGGAAACTTTGACCAGATGGCAACTGATGATGGACTCGTTGAGCAATAATGCCTTTTTTCTCTTTTAGAGTTATTCTTTTTATAATAAAGAGCTTTATGTCTGTGAAGGTTCTCAGTCAT